AATATAAAATCAGAAAAACAGTTTGAAGATATAGAGTTACATGTAACCCTGTAAACGATCATCGGATCGGCCGCCGATACCGATCCGATCAGGGGTGATCGGGGAAAAATTTCCGATCGCCGATCAATTAAAATGATCGGGAAAAAATCGGCAATTTTTTTTTTTTTTTTTTTTTTTTTTTTTTATGACGAAAATTTTCAAGTTTTTGGCTGTCAAATGCTCTAAAAAAGTTCATGGCTGGGATTATTTTGTCATTTGGAAGTGTTGTAGACAATGATTGTTGATATTTATTGCCTTTTCATGACTTTGAAATTAATAATATTGGTCTAAGAGCAGAGGCAAAACATGCGGGCCGCCATCTTGGATTATAATGTAGGTTTTTTTTTTTTTTTTTAATGACGAAAATTTTCAAGTTTTTGGCTATCAAATGCTCCAAAAAAGTTCATGGCTGGGATTATTTTGTCATTTGGAGTTGTTGTAGACCATGTTTGTTGATATTTAGTGCCTTTTCATGACTTTGAAATTAATAATATTGGTCTAAGAGCAGAGGCAAAACATGAGGGCCGCCATCTTGGATTATAATGCATACCTACATTATAATTCAAGATGGCGGCCTGCATGTTTTGCCTCTGCTCTTAGACCAATATTATTAATTTCAAAGTCATGAAAAGGCACTAAATATCAACAAACATGGTCTACAACAACTCCAAATGACAAAATAATCCCAGCCATGAACTTTTTTGGAGCATTTGATAGCCAAAAACTAGAAAGTTTTCGTCATTAAAAAAAAAAAAAAATACCTACATTATAATCCAAGATGGCGGCCCGCATGTTTTGCCTCTGCTCTTAGACCAATATTATTAATTTCAAAGTCATGAAAAGGCACAAAATATCAACAAACATGGTCTACAACAACTCCAAATGACAAAATAATCCCAGCCATGAACTTTTTTTGAGCATTTGATAGCCAAAAACTTGAAAAATTTCGTCATTTTAAAAAAAAAAAAAAAAAAAAAAAAAAAAAAAAATCGGCCGATTTTTTTTGTCGCTCTTCCGATCCGATACCGATCAAAGGTGCGAGGGTGTCGCTCCGATCTTCCGATCCGATCAGAGCCCCAACTTACAGGGTTAGTTACATGTATGAGTGATAATAAAACATTAGTGTTATTTAGTGAATATTCAATTGGAAAGTTGTTGTTGGAGTTGTTCTCCTAAAAGAAGATTCAACCTATTCTTGAATTGGATTTTTTAAATTTGAAATATAAAAAAAAGAATACATATATATATATATATATATATATATATTTTAACAAATGGAAGAGATCAGTAACACTACATCTCTGAAATTTTGCTGATTTGTCAAAAAATTAAGTTAAAGAGTTATGAGCGATAATTAACATTAGTGAAAGTCTAAATGAATAGTTGTTGTTGCAGTTGTTCTCCTAAAAGAAAATTCAACTTATTTTTTAATTAGATTATTTGAATTTGAATAAGAATAAGAAAAAAGATAATGGAAGAGAATCAAGAGATCACTGACACTAAATCTCAGGGATTTGGCCAATTTGTCAAGTTGAATCTTATCCCATTTACAACTTTTAGTCTGTTATACTGATTTTAACTTATATGCTGCATAATGCATTTCCCCCAAATTTGTTTCTCTGAGTGATTTGTATGTATTCCTTCAAATCAACTTGATTAGAAAGGTAGGATTGCCATAGTGCTTTCATTCTAAGAACATGATGTGTGCATGTTTATGTAGAATTATATTACATGAATATTAACATTCATAAGAAATGGTCTATAAGTGAGTAACAGGAGGTCAAGAAATAAACTTGGCTCTTGAAGTTTAACTCATGTTGCAGCACTAACCTTGATATAGCTTTTGACTTACTACACCTAACCAAAATGGACAATGCATGTTTGATCTCAAGTTTTTAAATGTATTACTTGTGTGTAAAATTGTCAGTGTACATTAAGCATTCAGTATCACTATTCATCTTCACATCTTTCCGTTTCCGTTTAATAAAAGTTGGAGTGGACTATTAGGCTATTATTATGATTATTATTATTATATTAGAGACAGACCCATCAGAGCTTGATGTAGAGTTGGCACACTTAGTTTTGGGGTACATAAAATACTAGAAAATGTTGATGTGCTATTGACCAATATACCAGTATTTGGAATTTAAATTATTCTTATGATGACCTCATGTCTTGAAGTGCAGATTGAAAGAGGTAGAATATTTCGATGCTCTATCAGCCTGAGAGGGACAGGTCCCCCCCCCCCCCCCCCTGCCCATGAAAATACAATGTGATTCTATACATATATTCACATTTAGAGATAAACAATATTGCTAAAGGCCATGCAACATGCAAGAATAAATGTAGGTGTGCTGAAATATGAGATTTATTCCTGCCTCTTGATGTAGAATATTCCTACTTAAATAAACAAGAGAAATGTATAAATGAACTTGAAGATATTCTTGTAACGTTATGCCTTTTATCATGAGATGGGCGCAGCCATTTTCCTGATAATGTGACGTACCAGGCAAACTTGTACATGTATCATGCACCAAGCTATACCGGTAGTTGGAAAAGCTTTTTGATTCATTAAAGGGGAATTAAGAAGAGCTTTTTAATTCATTAAAGGGGAATTAACCTCAACTACATGTTTTGTGGTTCTGAGAATTTTCAGTACGTCGCCATTGTGTTTGCGCACGGCCTATTCTGTGACGTATCAAATGAATTTGACCGCTACTGCGTACGTAAGTTTCTGTGCTGTAAACTGTAATATGATCAGATCACATCATTTTTCCTGTCATACTTTTACTTATTCTCAAAATTTTTTTCCACCTTCCAAGCTGCTACATTGTATAGCTTGAATATTTCATTGCGATTGTGTTGGTCTGGAAACGGATGAAACGATTTCCCCTTGGTTTATGAGGAACAATTATTACAACCAAACTCTTGGCAGCACACATTGTTTTACGTGTACATATAATGCACGCACCGTGCGCTACATAAACAATATTACACTAAACTATGAAAAACAAAGCCATATTTACCAAGGTAAATCAAATTTTGTTATTTCGCTAGTCAGCCTCATATAGATAATTATAATAATATTATATGGCTTTGTTTTTGTGTGACAATATTTACTTGTATCACACTCAAAGCCATCCAATATTATATAAGTACATCGCGTGGTCAAGAAAATTAATGGGCAAGAATACAAAAGATCTTTCAGAATAACTTAAGTACTTTCTTGAGGTGAGGTTTCCAATCACTATATATACATTGGTTCTTCATATTGGCTGAATCAATGATGTCTATATGCGATGACAGACAACTTTCCCTTTTGCTGCAACTCACAGAATGACTAAAATTTCAATTTTCCAATGATGTATGACTCGGGATAGTCTTTTCTTTTAGAGGACCTCTAATAATATAATCTCCATTGTATTGCCTCAAGGGTGAAGGCACTTGGGAGTTACCCTAGTGATATTCTTGTACACAACAAACAGGAGACTAATACATCACTCAAATTCATATTACCAATTTGAGTTTCACGTACATACATGTACATACAGTACATGTATGTAGCTGTAGTGATGCGAAACATTGGTAACTTTCTTATTTGTCCGAATTATTACCAACTTTTGCCATTCTGTTTCCGTGATTTTTCTGCTTTCAATTCAAATGAACTTAGTATAAGGGGTTGATTGTCCTGCAATTGCAGCATGCTTCTATGACTTTTCTGCTTTCTTCTAGAGAAGTCCTACTAGCTCTATCAAGATTGGTTTTCCCTCACAGGCTATCTGTATCCCCATCAATAATATTAGTGAAGTGTGTACATGTACAACTTGCATATTTTGCTGTTTATCAACAAAAATGAAAGAAATTGAAAAGCTTTGAATTTGATCGATTGTTTAATTTGTTTGTGTATACAGTGCATTAAAGGTATACAATATACCTATTATTGTTACGGATAACACTGTAAGTTGGGGCTTTGATCGGATCGGAAGATCAGAGCGACACCCTCGCACCTTTGATTGGTATCGGCAAAAATTTTGATCTTTTTTTTAATGCCTAAAATTTTCAAGCTTGGGGCTATCAAGTGCTAAAAAAAAACATGCATAGATGGGATTATTTTGTCATTTAGAGTTGTTGTAGACCATGTTTGTTGATATTAAGTGCCTTTTCATGACTTTGAAATTGATAATATTAGTCTAGTAAAGAATAGAGACAAAACATGCAAGCTGCCAGTTTGGATTTTATTGACAATGGACAAAAAAATGTGTGCCTACATTATAATCCAAGATGGCGGCTCGCATGTTTTGCCTCTTCTCTTAGACTAATATTGTTAATTTCAAAGTCATGAAAAGGCACTAAATATCAACAAAAATGGTCTACAACAACTCCAAATGACAAAATAATCCCAACTACGCAAGTATGCATGCTTTTTTAGCATTTGGTAGCCCCAAAATTGAAAATTTCTACCAATTTTTTTTCCCATTCATTTTCGGTGATCGGTGATCAGAATTTATTATCCAATTTCATCTCATCGGCCAACAATCGGCCAAGGATCCGATGGTTGGTTACAGGGTTAGTTATGGATATGCAGCATGTACAGGAAAATGTATGAGTACCGGTATGTAGCACTTGTAGCATAGTTACGTTTTTTATTTTGCGGAATTAAATTTGCGCTCTTTCAAGCACAAGCAGTAAGTAAAAGTACATTTGCAGTGTATATGTATGAAAGTAAAAACTTGTTCTTTATAACTCTGAAAAGCTCAATTTTCTGTAAATGCATCGCTTATGTTATTTAAAAAAAGTATTTGTCTCGTCTTAAAGTGATAAACACACATGTATTTTAGAAAGTACATTTTTTATATTTTAGAAATGTATGCTACATTTATCACGGTGCTTTTGATGTAACTTGTAGTATATTCATTAAATTCTTTATTAATGTTGCTTTCTTTTATTTTAATATCATGTACATGTACTGTATGCAGCTGCATAGATAAAGACATGCTCTTCATGCATTTTACTTCATCAGATTCCTGGGATAAATAGATCACAGTTTTCTCTTTTTTTAAGTCTTGACAAACCAGCAGGGAATAATGAAATATATTCACGCTTCCTTCCCACGCAACATGCATCACATTTTGAGAAATGTTTATAAATGCTTCGCCATCAAGGGAAAACATTGATTGAATCTTTCATAGAGCCTGAGCCACGCTGCTCTTTGACCCCTCCCTGTTTGCAACTAATGGAAATTCAAGGCCCCCCAGCTTACCCCCCACAGAATGCCCTCTTGCCCTCATGAGTATGCAGTGACTCGCCCTCTGCTTGCTGGGGATTGGGCTCCACCAACAAAAAGGACCCCTACCAGGATTTTATATGCCACAGATTTTGTAGACAGCTCTTTATTCAAGTCTCTTGTTGGCTGAGAACAAGCAGCACAATTCTGCATTGTCTGTAGCTTAGGACTGACTCAGTGTGGGAAAAGGAAGATAAATTCACAGTGCCACAGAAATTGAATGGAACTTTGCTGTGTGGATGATACAATGTAAAAGCTTGTTGTGACTTGTGAGTATCGTTTGTAAAATATATATTCTTTTTTACATATTCTTTTTTTACATATTAGGTGTAATAACGTAACGGTATGAAATTAATTTATTGGAACTTATCGTTTAAACAGCATAATGTACATGTACCTACAGCAATAATGTTTAACTACCATTAAGAACGTTTTCTGAATTAGCAAGCATTCAAGATTTGTGAAAGTTTTGTGAAGTATTCAGATTAGATTGAATCATTACATGACATATTTGCATTTCATAGAAGGGTATTGCTGCAAACACAGTCGTCATTAAAAGTATTCTTTCTTTAATGATGTAAAATACGTACTTAGAAAGAAGGAGTGTGTTATTAAGATGAAAAGACTTTATGTACATTCCAGCATTATCATATTTAATTGTACATGTATGTCAACTGACATGGCAATCCAACCTTTTGAATAATTTCATTGGGTTAAAGAGCAGAAAATAAGATGAACAGAATAGAGAAAGTCTGCGAACATGATACATCAGACCGTTAAGAAGAAAGTTATGACTGTTTGACATACATGTATGAGATCACTAAATCTTTGCAAACCTCAAATTTGCCATTTCATGGAGGTAGGCACAGCACCTGCACAGACAGATCTTCTGTTTGTCATGAAAATATTGTTAATTTATGTTTTCTCCTAAGTGCCTTATCCCTTCGGCATTACCCAAAATATATTAATGTATAGCATATATTCATACATGTAGGTCCTCCAAAAAGAAATGAACCTCCCGAGTTATATTTTTCAAAAGCATTAACACTTTAATAGTTTTGTGTGTTAAAACAAATGTGAAAGTTGTCCATCACTACATCACAGTTTAAAAGTTACCAAGTCAGCCAGTTTGAAATTCCCATAAACGTGCATGTACATATAGTGATTACAATTTCCAAAAAAATAATATCGTTCTTATTTTGTGTCTGATTGTCATTCAAACTTTCTCCAGTCTCCTTCTCCGATTTTACTGCTCTCTTTTAGAGTTAAAATTGCTCTTAAGGCTGCATTTTCCTTTAAAGGTGATTTACATGTACAAACATGTATTAATTGTATATACTGAACATGTAATATCTTTGTACAATTCCATGGAAATGGAGTATTTCTTTACCCATTAACTGCTAAATACTCTTATTACAATATACATGTATTTGAGTCTGGCACAGGAGATAAAAAAGAATGTCATATTGAACATGTGCATGGAAATTGCGCTATACACATAAGCAGGCGCGTACGCAGGGGGGTGGTTTTAGGGTTAAACCCCTCCCCCCCTCAAGTTTTTTTATGTGTAAATTTTTTGTATGTTGTTTTGGAAAACCCTCCCCTTTTGATTTTTTTTTTTTTTTTTTAAATTGCCAATGGGTGACCTTAAAAAGGTGACCTTACCCCCCCCCCCCCAACTGGACAAAATGTCAAATTTTTAAATTTCGAGACCAAAAAAAAAAAAAAAAGTGGCCTCTTACCCCCCCCCCCCCCCAACTGGACAAAATGTCAAATTTTTAAATTTCGAGACCCCCCCCAAAAAAAAGTGGCCTCTTACCCCCCCGCTTATTTAGCGGCTGGCTTAGTCGTTGCGAAATTTTGGGCCCGATTTGAAAACCCTCCCCTTGAAAAAATCCTGCGTACGCCACTGCACATTAGATACATTGTTATCATCATTATTATCATTATTACAATTACCTATTGTTATTATTATGTTATAACTTTCGATAATCATCATAATTTCTTATAAAAATAGTTTCAATGAGAATCACACATGTCTTAAGTCTCTAAATTCATTAATCATTAATCACCTGCAATAATATATATTTTTAATGTAATTTCTTTCAAAACTATCCTAATTGTATTGTAAAGCAGTATGTTTGAATGCAGTGTATTTTCTAATGTGAGGAAAAAGGGGGGACCCAAAGCTCAAATGTGCCAGAATGACATATCCAATGAACACCAGACCTTTTGTTCATTATGTTTGACACTCTCTGTCATGGATAAATCAGACCTTGTGGCTATTTATATGCATCAATCTACAGGATCTACATAGTTTTGAATCATTACATATTGGTGCGGTTGGAATTTAACCATTCTATATATATATATAGATCCATAAATCATGCGCCTCATTCAGGAAACTGTATGTGTGCAAAGTCCCCCAACATTTTCCTCCAATGCAGTTCATTCAAACGATATGTTCCTACTCAAACAGCAGTATGCTTGGATTCATTTGAAATTTAATCCATACACATAGCACCCCTGCCATTTTTGCCAGAGTCTGGGAGCAGAATTTGACCCTACCCCCTATCAAGCCCCCCACGCATAGCTGAAAATAGCAGCCTCTATATATCCTCTGGACAAAATTACCGCTGTGATTTCACTTCAGACTTGTGCAGTGCATGTACATGTAAGCCTGCCTGCTCAGAGCAATACACATAATTAATGTATGCTCTAGTATGCATTACAATGGGATAATACTGACTTCCAAAGGGATAGGTGATTTTTGTTGACTTTGTATCAGGTAGAAAGAAAGGGGTTAGTCTGAGACAAATGTCCACTTTGAATTTAAGCTTTTGGAAAATTATGGAAGAGCAGAACTACAAAAAAAAAATCATTTTAGAACATCTAATTTAAGATTTACTAGCTCTTGAAGCTAGAAAAAAAATGTGATCAAAATCAAATAATGACATGACATCATATCGTACATGTACATGTACATTTAGATGTCAGTTGGAACAGAATAGACAGAATATTATTTAAAAGTTAACCCTCTCTCTCCCTCTCTCTTTCTTTTTCTCTCTCAATTTACGATTTGCCTATGATTCACTTTCAAAATCAATGATTAAATTCAATGAAAGCAAGTTTGGTCCCCAAATTTTTCTTTTTTCAAATAATCTGTTGGGGGTACATTACTACATTTCAAATTGTCAATTAGTAAAGTTATCCTAAGGGCTAAATTGTTATCTGAGGAAGAACAAAATAGAGCCTTGTGAGTACACTGAGCTTCATTGTATATCAAGTATTGATTATAAAGTATATTCAAACAAGTTAACGGCATTTGATGATGATGATGATTACAGTATTGATGATGATAATGATGCTGAAAGAGAGGGAAGAAGAAGTACATGTAATTTTTATCACAATGATAATGATTTGCAGTTCAGTTGATTGGAAAATGAATAACAAGTTGTAGCCATATATTTGAATTGTTGTATCAATGTTGTGTGACATTTAAGATGTGAAGGAACAGTCTCCCTCTGCAACTTGAAACCCAAGTTATGTTTCTCCAAGGCCATGTGAATTTTTTTAATTTATTGCCACATAATAGCCCTATAGATATTGTATTTTTCAGAAGATGCTGTTTTTAAATTGACCCCCCCCCCCCCCCCATTATTAATTTTAAGAAAAAATAAAATATATGACTTCAATTGAAAATTGAGAGGCTTGAAGTCTTCAGGGGCAATTTGACAGCTCCTCACACCCCTGTGTATTTTGAATGTTGGCAACTTGGCATTTACAGTATCCTAAAGATCTTCAGTCATTATGTAACCCTGCCAAGATGTAATAATTATACAATTATTATCAATTTAAAACTTTTCAATCTTGCTTGTTTCTTTTGCAACTCCAGAGTGACTTGACGAGGATCCAACAGAGGTGAGTGAGGAGTGAGGTATGTCCACTCTGCCCCAGCCCCTTTCCCACTGCCTGCTGAACCAGGTACACCCCGCTCTCAACCTGCCCCAGACAGGGCTCATCACAGACATCAAGCCCATGATCAGTAATAAACCTCCTACACAGGAGGTCAAACCAAACATCCTAGCAACTGGCTTGCCCTATCCTCCACTCAACGTGCCTAGCCTACCCGTCATGCCCAATGTGTCTCTGCCTAGTGTCTCTATGCCGAGTGTGTCTATGCCCAATGTCTCCATGCCCAACGCATCCATGCCCAGTGTTTCGATGCCCAATGTGTCCATGCCAAGTATTCCTCATCACAACTTACAGGGTGAGTTTTAATGTGCTCCCACATGAGAATGCAAAAGTTGCATCTGATATTTGGGTGGGCCCCATGGGGAATCTATTACACTGTTACCCATTTTTATTTATTTTAATTTTTAAATGTTAGTCATCATAGACAATACATTTGGAGATATGAGGACATTGCTTGCTTTGACAGATATCAAGCTATAAAGCATTGGAATTTTTTTTTTGTAGTCTTGTTAAGTTGTCCCACTAATGCATTTGGGAAATAATCCTGAAGTTACAAATCGCGTCTTCATCGACTCGACCTCGAAACTTGAAGCTCAAGATATTTTGCTCAGCGTTTGCGTATAGTGCGAGTCTTCGGGCTGGTTAAGACGCACCGGACAAATAGCGGGATATTTTGCAAACTAGCCCAAGATATCTTGGGATGATTATCTTGACCATATATCCCACTAATTATAACTTTGGGCTGATGGAGATGCAAATTAACTGGATGATTTGCGATCAGGATAGTTGAAATAGCGGGATATTTGGCAATCTCGAGCTGATGAAAACAGGCCTATTGAGTAAGATTAAAAGTGCATCTGAAGATTTGATTCAATACTCCAGAGAGCAAGGGATGTCCCCCAAATAGAGGAACAGCAGACATCTGGTCTGATGTGTGAATTTTTGGTGACCCTGAATTAAATGTACCTCTTATCATTTTCAGGGAAGTTTACTAATCTGATTTAAAGTTACACCCGTCTCAAGGGACCACATGAATCAATAAACATCAGCACGTTTTGTGCATGCTATTCTGTGATAGTGCTTATGGTGCTGTCATTCTGGAGCATCAGGGCATAAGTTGAATGAGAAACATTCACATGAACCTAATCATCGCATTATATGATGCAAATTTTTATCATGTAAAGACATCTCATTTTTAACAATTGAGCAATTAAAGTGTAAAGAAAATGGCGTAACATTTGTTTTATTTTCCTTTTTTGTTCCTCTCTCTCTGCAGGTAACTTAGGCCAATTACTCAACAACAGCAATTCCCAAAAAATGTCCCAAATGAAAAAGTGCCCCAACGAGTTTTTACATCAGAATCCACAAAGTGAGCGACAGCTTTTCTACAACGACGTAGCCATGCAACTGTATAACAGTGACTTCAACAAGTTTGCTTCCAAGAAGGAATTTCATGGCTACCTGTTAGAGCAACAGAAGTGGAGGTGGGATACCCACAGCTACATAGGTAACCTGGAGACTAGAGTACATAACTTGCTCATTAATCCAAACAGTGGGGTTGCACAGAATGTTGCTCGCTACCGCAGTGTCCCCATCAAATGTAAAAGTGAGGATGTGAAGCGATGTGAAGCCACGTCCAAAGAGCTTGAGAACATGGCAACCCGCATTGCCAGTGTACGGCAGCAGCTGCTACACAAAAAGGGCACCTTGCTGACATCCAGCGATAACAGCGTTATAGTGTGGCAGAATGAGCTAGCCTACATAGAACAGCTGTTTGACAGGACTGATCAGATGTACAATGAGGTGTTATCTACCCTGGCAAGTGTCAACCAGACCTTCTCCCACCTTCAGACAAGCTTCACAGCAGAAGCTGCAGAGTTGGCAGATCGTAGGCGCTTGTGGAGGAGGAGAAAGGAGAACAACCGCAAGAGACGCAAGCGCATGGAGAAACAACTTGAAAAGATTGAGCAGCGATCTTGTGAGCTTCTCTTTCATATCACATCCCGGGGAGCATATGACCGGGTGCGTTCCCACCCAGAGATGCCTCGTATTGGACCCAGCGAGGTGAACACAGACATGTTAAATGGGATTAAATCTAAATCCGAAGTGAGGCCTCTTATGCACCTACTCAGTAAGGGTTACATGACCCCTGGTGCAATGGAGATGGTCTCTCAAAAGATCCAAAAACTAGAGTGTGGTATTAAGACTGAAGCGCACCAACAGGCAACCCAGGTTGGTATCAACTCCCTGTCGATCAACAAAATTACAGCACCTGCTTCAGAGCTAAACTCCATACTGCCTCCTGTCACTGGAATTGCCTCATCAAATATGGTGTCATCTGTAAACTCAGCTGTGACACAACAATCAGTGCCCACAGTAAATCTTAACACTCAATTAGCGAAGTAAAGACATTTTAACCAAGTCACAGCGACTTTGCCACATTGCCGAGTGTTTGACATTGAGTAGGCTGTACTCTACTCCACACTGTTTTAACCAACATTGTATTATGTATGAGCATACTCTTACATGGCAAAATGTACATTTATTATATTATGCAGGAATGTTGCATCAGTTTAGATCTAACCAATACATTTTTAGATTACTTGTTCTTTTTTTTTACCAGATGTACATGTAAATTTTAGCTGGTGAAATTTCACTTCGCTTGAACTCTTTAAAAAATCACAATCTTCTTTATTCTACTAGTAATATACATGTAGAATGACCACACTTGGGAAAGACTTCATTTACAAAATTCCTTAAAGCTGTAATCAAACTCATTGCGTTGAATTATATATTGATTACTTGCCTTGCCACATTTATTACATGATTCGAATTGTAAGAATATGTCCTGTTACTTTGTTCTTTATTGATCATGTCTAGGACTGTCCAAATGCAATGGCTTTAGTTTATCCTGGATTGGTGCTTCTTAGACTTTCCTCTTGGCTGATTTGTCACTGATTCATTGTGTTTGTAAGTTTGTAATAGAGCTGTAGGGTAAATCTCTTTTTTTTTGGGGGGGGGGGGGGGCAGGGGATTATTATGGGCGGTGGGGAATGGGTTGTTTGGGGGGTGTTTATGTTGACTTTTCCCCCCATAATATTCCTTCATGGACCAAATGTATAGAACAATTACTACCCGTTATTACATGTACATTTGTCAGTCTCTTAATGTTATTTTATAATGCTTTATTTTTAGGCAGCTAGAGTAGAATAGTTTCTGCATTCTGGACATTTGTTTTACTTTGAAATATATTATGTTCATTCTTTTTATCATAGCCACTTACCCGCTACCTCGGAAGTAGCCAGTCTGAGACCTGGATTTTTAAACATGGTTTAAAGAAATGGGTGAGATATTTTAAGTGTACCAATCATCCGAAAAAAAATGATCTGTGTAGTGTAAAGCTAGAATGTATACCGGTAAATAAAATCAACCAAAAATATTTACCAGGCATTATATAGGTAAACGATTAAGGAGTATGACAAAAATAAAGGGTAACATTAAATCCCTCATGCAGGGCTTGCACGGAACCTAAATCCGACTTAGTTCCGTGCAAGCCCTATTCATGCAAGTACGTACGTGTGCGTTTACTACTGGTAGTCTACTCAAGAAAACGAAATACTGTTGTATTTAACTTGCAATATCTCTTTAATAATAGAAGTAATATTTGAAGCTCATATTTTTTTAATACATTATAGCCACACATTGAACCCCTTACATCAAGAGCAAAATATGTTTTAGTGATTGGTACACTGTAAACATTTTTGTTGTTGCCGAGTTCTTAATAAGTGCTACTTGATCTTTGCCATTTCCTATATGGTGAAATCATTCAAACTATGTGATTACCAGTAACCTTCCAATCAAGTTGAACCATGAAATATGGTTTGTATTGCTCGTCTATCATCCAAATTATTCAGAATGTGATGGTCATATTTTAGCTCCAAAATGAAATAAATCGGGTCACTCAAACATTGAAGTTAAGCCTTTGCTTTGGCTTTAGGGTGTAAATGATTGCTTAATTTTTATGCCTCCGCCACCGAAGGTGGTGCCGGAGGCATCATGTTTTCGGGTTGTCCGTCCGTACGTCCCGTCCCGTTTGACCGTTATCACAATATCTCAAGAACCATTTAAGATTTAAACTTAAGATTCGGGAATAGTATTTATCACCATAGGAAGACGATCTGATTAGATTTTGGAGTACGTAGGTCAAAGGTCACAGGTCACAGAGGTCAACTTATGAAATTCCTTGTATTGAGTTTGTTAGCGCGATATCTCAAGAACCATTTGAGATTTAAACTTCAAACTTAGTGATAGTGTGTATCACCATAGGAAGACGATCTGATTAGATTTTGGAGCACGTAGGTCAAAGGTCAAGGGTCACAGAGGTCAACTTATGAAATTCCATACATTGAGATTGTTATCATGATATCTCAAGAACCACTGGAGATTTAAACTCCAAACTTGTTTAAATTGCTCTATGGCGGAGGCATCATTTTCGACTGCGCGCAGTCAAAATTCCATCTAGTTTACTAATGATTCAATGTTTTTTGACAAAGCATTAAAATCAACAGGTTCAAATTTGCTTCTGGTGTGTAAATCTAATTATTTATGACAACACTAAATTTTGTACAAGTCTGAATCAAGTTTATTACATGTCATTAAGGAAGGTTTCAGCAAGTGAGGGTATAAGCTGAACCAGTACTGTAAACAAAAATGAAAAATTCTATGCATATCACTGGGTTTGTAGGTAGTATGATTGTTATCTTACTAGAGTTAGTTTCATTAAATTTAAATTGATAGATCACATCTTTGCCAGAAGGAGAGGAGCACAATACAAATACCCCCCTCAGTTGTTGCTTGAAATGCATTTGATATATTGATAAATCACTGTGTCACATGATGTCAGTCAAATAGGATCAATTGTGTTGTTAATTGTAATGACATAATGATCACTGATAACACATTCATGCTCTGAAGTATGGCAGATTACTAGGAAGAACATAAATGTTGAATACTTTGATATTTGCAAAGCATTCTGAAAATGATCAATTGATCTGAAACATGGAAAATTGCTCATGCTTTCTCTACTCAAGGAGAATAAAGAACATTTGAAAAAGTAAATCAAACTCAATGCAGTTTGAGTGCATATAACACAATGTTCATGTACACATACAAAATCAACAGGTCACATGGCTTGTATTGATTTTCTTATGCAAAAAATACTACCGGTATATGAATTATGTTTGGGAAAGGAAGACAATGTGTATATAATATCGGATGGCTTTGAGTGTGATACAGAAATATATTGCTTGAGTTATGACAATATTGGATGAGTCGAAGACGAGTCCAAATATTTTCATAGCTTAAGCAATATATTCTTGCATCACACGTAAACGAAGCCATACAATATTATTATTATTATCTATATCAGGCTGACTAGCGAAATAACAAAATTTGACTTGATGATAAAGCAATATTGTTGAAGTTACCGGATGACAGAGCAATACGAAAACAATATTGATCTGTCATGTGGGTACTGCGCTAAAGATATTAAATACACTGATTTATTATACCACTTGGAAGCCTTATATAGATAATAATAAATAAGATTTATTAGAAAATTCACATTAGTAATTCAGTTGTAGAATGCAAGACGATATTACATGTGTCGTATTCATGTAGAAATGTAAATACAAACTGTATCATAGTAACCAACAAAAAGTATTGAGATGCTTAACAGTTTATTGATCTTTTTCTTCTTTTTTTAAAATCCTTTTTTGTCAGTGACTTCTGGTGCTACTTTTTGTTTTTAATCGGCTTTGAGTTGAACATCTTTTTGCATAATTACATGAGATTAGGTTTATTCCATCTCATTTTAAACCTTCTTAATGCCTGGAAATATGAAGTTGTTCCATGACAAAGTGAAACCAGTACAATAGTTATTTTTATACTCTATTACTATATTGTACATGTAAACTTTGCAAAGCTATGAGGTAAAGAAATGAAGATATTGGCAGCCTATAGTGTATGATGTGTTATTGTCAATAAATTTTTCATCATGTCATTATATAAGAATATAGTTGTTTAGGATCATGAAATGGAAGTTAATTTACTATTAAATGAGATAACAGCCAATTCTGTTATGGAGTAAACATGTTAACAATCGATTAGGTGAAAAATTGTTATGTCAAGCTTTTATCGCCATACACGAGTATAATTCCAAAAGGTAATGCACAGGTAAAAATATTGCAATGTTGATAAAATCAAAGTGATAAAAAGAATAGACTTCCAAGATAGTCCCACTTTTGGATAGGAGAGAACCCAAAAGTGTGCTGTATTATTATGCTTCAATGCTGATAGAGAAATCACATCGTGTTGACTTTTATATTGATATTCATGTATTATGGTACAGTCACTTCAAAACGAATATGTTACAGCTTTATTTTTTTAAATAAATCTCAAATGAATGAAAAATATTAAATTTCCAAGGAGATACACCGTTTCATTGGGGAAATGTCAGACTTTTCTCTTTCAAATAACATAAAATACTTATTTTTATTTTCTATTGTAAGTGCTGTTATTACAAATATAAATACATGTAGCATCAATACCGACTTGTAAATTAATTCAAAGATCGTGATATTGTCAGGAAGTATTATCCAGGTTTCTGTTAATCATTTTGTGTCTTGTCAAGAAAAGAGTTCCTTTTAAAAAGTTGTTGTTCACATGAATTCAAGGTCTGTTTAATATTCCAGTGATTTTCAACTTCTAATTTTTGAGACTCGCCCTTTAGCTTCGATATATGTGTATCATGAATTTGGTAAATTAAACTATTTTGCATCCTTCCTTTGCTGAAAATGTGTGGTACTGTATCCTTCTTTCATTGCAAGCATCAGCTTTGTATATAAGTGAGTTACAGACATACAATTAACAGCTAAATTAGTCATACGCTTACCAAGTTATGTCATTTTTTTTAAAATCTGTGATAAATTGATTTGTCCCGACTTATGTTTCTTGAGAATGTGACATGTTAAAGCTTTCAGCATAGGCCCTAATTCAACCAGTCCACATTTCATTCTTGAGTTACGAAAGACACGCACACACAAAAACATAAAATTTACAAGGGATTGAATAGTTTAGATTTTAACTGTATCATCCGTATATAAAGACTGTTCAAGGGAAAGGAATTTTTTTTAAAAGTGGTTGTAGGATTATGAAGGTGGTCTCTAACTAAAGATTTCTTTAATATAGATTTCCATGAGAAAGCGAAACAAAACAAAAATGGTGTTCAATAGACGGGTGCTAAAGGGTTAGTTACGAATTTGACAATAAAGTAATGAAGAAATATAGTAGGTTGTTGTTCTGTCAGGCATTTGGAGACGGCTTTCTAAATAATGATATCTTTGGAATGTGCCGTTCAAATATGGAAAAGGATAGCAAAACAAAAGAAAGAAAACCGGTAACTTGGGCTGCAACCCTTGAGATGGATGGTTAGCTGACGAGATCGACAATGATGGTCTGGCGGGTCTTCTGCAAACTTGCCTGAGAGTTATAGGACACCGGTAATGCCACCTACCCTACCACTGGTGAGCCATCGGTCTCGTAAACTGTCGGTATACAGTGACTCATCTGTATTTTCATGCCAACTAGATAATCTAATTCATTTTTACACTAATTTACCTAAAATCCACTAATTAGAAGGAACCAATTTTACATTCTTCTGAAATAGAATATCATATTTGTATTATGTTTGGGGTACAAATATAGTGATACAAGCATTTGTCAAATGGCTCAATCAACCCAAACTACTATAGGGCGGTTTGTCAGTGTAACATAGTTTTACTTAAAGATGTACTAAACTAGTGTGTAACATGACCTGTCTAACTATTATCCCTACAGGTTGTAGTGACAAACATTTTGTTGGAGAGGGAGCAAATGTGACGGACTTTACCCAAGCACTTGCATCTGGAAGGTCGTACGATGGATCAAAACATTTTTGACTATTTTTTTAGACGTGGACAATTTCTAAGCTAGAAAAAACAGTGTCTGTCTTCTACACCTTTTTTCTAATTTTATTCTTACTTCTGATGACATAAAATTGAACTTTTAAAATTAGTTTTAATTTGACATAATGAGTGATAATTGGTACTTCTTAATTTCCATCTTGATTTGTATTCTATATATTACATTTTGTAAAAAGGATATTTTCAGCCCTTGGGCTACATGCTCAATTTTGAGTTTTATCATAATAAACGATTCAATCAATCAATTCAATAAAATAAACATGTACAAAAAACGATATACACATAGGTATCTGAACTGTTTTATTCAATAAAATGGAAGATAAAAGTATCCAGAAAATAGCACGAATGCTAATCTCACTGAGCGGCGAATGCTTGCGAACGTAGCGAATTCGGGGTTTCGCCAGGGATCGTTAAAGGTTGCAAAGGTTCGTAAAAGGTTGCAAGAAAGTTCGCAAACAGCCTTTTGTCGCAATCAGTTTTTCTTTGCGAATTTATTTTTCCGCGAACAGTTGCAAGCGTTTGCAAAACAGTCGTAAGCCTTTTGTTGCAAACGGTTGTAAGACGGTGTCGCTGAAGTTCCTTTTGATTCGCCAATGCTAGCAACCACGTGACCGTAATTATGGTTCCTATATACAATCGACCCAATGAGTACCAGGAGTTAGCAAAAGGTCTCAAACATTCACAAAAATTTGCTAATCTTCGCAAAAACCTGTTGCTGACATATTTTGCTTACAGTCGGTAAAAGTCGCTAATGTCGCAGAGGCGAACTCTGATTTTCCCAAACATTCGTCAGAAAAGTTGGCGAATCCAAATTCGCAAACGTTCGTAAGCATTCGCCGCTAAGTGAGATACACCCTCCATCGAGCCTGCATGTTACCCTCACTTCGAACATATGAAAAACACTGTTTGGGTACATAGAATACTGAAACACACAAATTTGGAATGTTACACGTATTAACCGTGTATAAATAAAGATATCAATTCAATTCAATTCAATAGTAAAGCTATTTACAAACAAAACTATTATTGTATAAATAGATGATAAACAAAGCAAATACCTATCACTTTATTATATTTTACTCATTTAAAAATTGCTCTAAAAGTGCCATCCTATAGCAATTATGTGGATGGCTTTGTGGGGATCATTCCTCATGAAATTGAAAACTTTCCCTTGGTAGTGAATGAGGAAAAATTACATTTACTAATTCTAATTAAACTACAAATAATAAGTTTGTGCATTTGGTACACGTTCAAGATCTGTTATTTTGTAAGTAATGGTTTTGAATGTGCCATTAACAAACTAAATGTGATAGCGTGTAGAGCCATTTTTAAAAACTTAACATTATACATTTTAGATTTGTTTCATAAGTGCTACCTATTACTTCAATTCCATCTGTAATGTGGGGGGGGGGGGGGGGGTGCACCAAAGTTTTGTATATAAATCACCATTTTCTGGGACACAAAATTTCTGAGTCTATACAACTATTGATACCAATTTTAATACTAATATATTGGTTTATTTTTTCAATATGGTTTTCCATGTAATATCGATCTTCAAACTTATGCATACGATGCAACATCAATAAAGGGTAGTTGATGTTGCATCGTTCGTAGGTCTGAATATATAATAAAGAGTTTGTCTACACAATATAGGACACATACTAGTTTCAAACAACTTCATCCGAATTACCATTATACAATTACACATAAATCAAGATGTCATCAAATCCATCTGAATATCAGTATAACAATTTTAATTTACTATTGTGCTAAATAATGATAAATAATGGTGCATTATGCAAGGTAATGATGAATGGTGGTTGCTAGGAAGTGTTTGGTTTACATGGTTTCAAATAGTAATACTCGGATGAACATGGGTGCAATCATGAAGCAAACTTCAAACTATAGACAATTCTCAAGATTATGTACAAAATATGGCCAACGATCTCCAGTGCCGCTTCAGTTTTAATGGAGTTAAGTATCGGGGACGACTTCGCGCACAAAATAATAAATACAACAATTTAGAAGGAGAGATTTCAAAGGAGTCGAGGCCACACACCCAGCGATATCTTTGAGTTCATAGACAAAATCTTGAGGGCGAACACATCTTCTGGATCACTAATACACAACGGAACTGGAATGTAGGTATAATACTCGACAAATAAAATAGTCCTGTGTTTGTTAGCACCTTGATGACGCTCTTGTCATGATATCAGTCACTAAGTCGCATATTCTTTCGCAATGCTCACTGGTGTAGATCTGAAAAAGATCAAGAATAGACAAACAAGGTTACCGGTATGTTTTTCTTTAAATGAAACTTTTTCGTTATGGATTATAAACCTCAAAAGATTTTCACCAGAGCCTAATGTACACAATTCTACGAATGTATCATGCTCAGGCGCGTACACACGGGGGGGGGGGGGGGGGGGGGGGGGGGGGGGGGGGGGGGGGGGGGGGGGGGGGTTTAAACCCCCCCTTTGGTATTTTTTTTTTGTGTAAACCCCCCCCCCCCCAAACCCTCCTAAACCCCCCCCCCCCCCCCTTTGATTTTTTTTTTTTTTTTTTTTTTTATTACAAAAAATTAAAACAAATAAAAAATTTCCCATGACTAACCTAAAAAGCTGATCTTACCCCCCCCCAAACGGAGCAAAATGTCAAATTTTCAAATTTCGAGACCCCCCCCCCCCAAAAAAAAGTGACCTCTTACCCCCCCCCCCCCCCCCCCCCCCCCCCCCCCTTGAAAAAATCCCGCGTACGCGCCTGATCATGCTCTTCGTGAAAATGAATTTTGTTGTGTCTATTAGCCTATAGTAGTAAGGTATAGTGCATGCAATAATAATATCCAATGGAATTGTCATTTCTGATGCATACCAACTATAATTGATAGTGTCCCAACTCGGTTCATTTGCATATTTTCAAATGTACCAATCATTCATTATTATGAATACGCGGAAATAATAGACAGTTAGTAAACGTAAGATCGTGTTTTCAAATTAGCAAGGAAAAAAAATCGTAATGTAAACATACTACATACCACTGCTTTGCAGTTCTTCTAGAATAAAGCTATAAGAGTCCAGTGAGATATTCGGACTCTCCTCCATTAGATCAAGTAGTTTGCCAATCGTTGCATCGTCATGATGACGTTGACGCCACTCATACAACATGCCAAATATCGTTTCCTCCATCTGTAATTTTCATAAAGAAGTGAGATTCCAGAATATAAGGGTGTATGTTAGCTCAAGTATAAAGCTGTATCTAGCTGAATTGTGTATCGTGATGAAAAGTCTAATACAGTCATGTTTCCATTATCAATCTATATTCTTGCTTCACATAATTATTGGTGTACTACACATTCAAAATGATTTAAGAACTTTACTATTGATTAGATCGAAGATCTTTAATTTAGAGTAAACTGATGCCGACTGGCTCATGTTGTCATATAAACAGATACTGTTTAGATGTCTTTGCATTAAAAAATAATAACAGTAACTGCAATTCCACGAGTATACGCTCCTCTATAAGACTGTTAAGATGCAAGATTGATTGTATGTGCTTTGTAAATCCATACATGATAAATATTTTGCTAATCATGTTAGAGGTTCCATGTCGCTATACTAGTCAAGATATGAGCTCTGTGATATGATAGCGACTTGAAATAAGTCAGCGTTTTTCAACCTTTTGAAAGTCACTGCACCTTTTTAAGAAATAACAAGTTTCGCGTCACCCCAATCCCAAATTCACCCGGATCGCAAAAATTTAATTTTTATTATTTTGGCAATCGTCAAATGTCAAATATACGCGTATGGATATATTCGTTACAAAACGAGCGAAGCGTGCGTGAGAAAAAAGGGCAATCATTTCAACATGGTAAAAAATCGACTTTGTGATCAAAACACACTAAGACATAACATTATGTATGCGGGCACCTAGCCGCCGAACATGGACTTTTGTATACAAAATTCATATTATATTCGGTCATCTCACTACACGAATATGACTACTTGGGCATCTCGTTGTACTTTCAATGTAAAAACTATTATGTTCGCGCAGCTTGCTTCCGGAATATGGAGGTATTCGGGCACTTTGCTACCGGAAATCATCCTGTTTCTAAATGTTGCGAAAGAGCGAAGCAATGGAGGGAGAAAGATACTATGATATCTTTAAAATATGAATTTCCTCTTGAGAATATAACCGGTGCCTTTTTATTGTAATAATAATAATATTTGGTTCTTGTATAATATAGCGCTCATGTCAGTCAGATTTGACCCTCCTGGCGCTGGTGTACCGATTTAATAAACTTTCAAGTGCTTACGGTTGATCTGTTGTGTTTGAAATGATCAATGTCGACCTTTGACATGCCTAGATGTTGGATGCCGAACTGTGACCATCCTTCGCCAATCTTCCCAGCTAGCTTGCTTAAAATCTTGTCAGATATAATTGAAGATCGGCTCAGAGGTCCTGTGTCTTTGCGTGAAGAATTCTTTCCATTTCCTATAATTGCAAACAAAATAATCATGAAAAAACGATGGACATAGCATAATACATGACTTATCTTATTATTATTGGCAAGATAGCTAAAGGGGGCATGTGCCCCTAAAATTGAAAAGAAAGAAAAAGCGAGAAAAGAGTGAGAGGAGAGAGAGAGAGGGAAAGAGAGAGAGAGAGAGAAGGGCAAAAAAGAAGGCGCCTGTAAAGTCACATTTCATTATATACGAGTAAGATCCACTGCCCTCAATAGATCCACTGCCCTCTCAATTAATGAACTCATGCTATGATACTGATTAGTATGAAAACAAAGTGACTAATATCTGTCATAATATTTCCGACCAGGGTGCATGGGAGCACCCCTCTTTTAACGTCTACCGTGGTAGACGTTGCCCCATATTTTAGTTGAGGGCTGTAACAGGCAACAGAGATGTATTGGGCCTCAATATTAATAATGAATAATTTTGAGCCGAATACGCAAATTTATGATAATCCTCACACCATCATGTTAGTATTAGTTGGATAAACAGACAAGACGATCGACAATAAAATGGCTCAGTTGCAAGAAGCGAAGTCAGTGTCTTTATATTATTATAAAGATGGTCGTATTAACTGTTAAAGTGCCCATGATCAGTGGTGTATATCAATGAGATAGGGAGAAAGGAGAGGGGGAGAGGCCTTGGGCACACATTCCCTCCTTATATCACGATGTCACCTATCAAAGGAAATAACTTTATAGCAAGTAAAATTCATAACAGGAAATAAAACAACATACTGTACATATATTCAAGAGCGTGATGGGGATAAAAGTATACTGTTTTGAATTTTCTCTTTTTGTTTTATTTTCTTTTGATTTTTGTTTTCTTCTCCTGGGGTTATAATCGTAAGAGAAAAAAAATCGTGACATTATTCATCCCTGAAAGTGATAGGCCTACGATTCTGGTTCCCACTCCCCCACCCCCCCCCCCCCCCCCCCCCTCGCGAACGAGTTTGGTATATATGGCTCGTAAGTATGTGTTGTGACAGTTGCACTTAATTAAGTTATCACCCAAGTCATTTGTTTTTGTATTATTGATGCATGACATGAACACACATATATTTGTATTAGCACTTCCTCAGGCAAGGTGCCTAGTATAGCGCCACCTATTGATAATGACTTGATATCAAACACTCAGAAGGCTACATAGACATGGTTGTGCTGAGGTACAAGAATCCCCTTTTTGCCAGAGCATCAAGGAGATTTCTGTCATAGTTTTGTCATTATGTCAGGCAAAGAGGTTAGTTTTGTTGTATATTGAATCTATTTCTATGAATTGTTGAAACATAAAGTGTAAATTAGTGTGTGTATTTTGTACTTCATACTGGGAGATGTTGATGTTAGTATGTAGTGTAAGACATGCAAGCCCATGCTGGTTTAATATGTACATTTGATTTGATATGAAGAACAATGATGATAGTGAAGATATTGTGAAATACTTTGAAGAATATTATGAGAGTGCTGAAGCACTAAGTAGAGATTCAGAATTTATAATTGTTTAGTTAATTGTTTAAACATGCTATAGTGAAGTCTAGTTGTGATACTTGTAGTGTGAGTTTGTATTTATGTAAAGCCATTTAATGCAGATGGACTAGAATAGAGACTGTGTTATTGCTAAATTGATTATGCTATGATGTACTTGTACTTATGATTATTTATCTGTGATTTATCCACAGTTTTCACGGAATTTACTGGAACGAAAATGAAACTCCAATTAAAGATACAATTCCCGTAGAAGCCTTTGTTTAGACTATTTATTTGAGATCGACCTCGCTGCAGCCACAGTGAAAACTCTTCTGTGTGATGACATCAGATCGAGCAGAGTGGTTCATTCCAAGAAGTTAATCTTCCATCACTAGCTAGAGACCGTCATCATGTCTGAAGGAGAAGAAGCGAGCAAAAGGGATAGAAGACCCACAGAGAAGGGTATCAAGCACCAAGCGGATGTCGCAGTGAAGTCATGGAAAGTCGCCATTCGACTCTGGAGTAGAATAGCAAATAAGCATCGTGAGCTTATTGTAGAAGACGACATCCAAGCTGAGGTGATTAAAGAATCCCGCAACAAAGTACAGGAAGCTATGGACAAAGCCATAGCTACTCAAGAAGTGCTCGCTGACTTAGCTCCTTCAGCAAGTCTCGAAGATGATGGTGAAGACAGGCTTGATGAGATGGAAGAGGAGCATTCATCCTTGATGAGAGAGACCATGCGAGTCATTCTACAGTTAAGAGGCGGAACTCACTCTTCAAAGTCTGGTTCTCGCTCGCCAAAACCAAGAGTTCAAGACTGGGTCAACGAACAAGCACCTGTCTCTCCCATGGAGCATGCAGCCAGGAGAGATGATGAAGTAAGTCATCAACCAGCAGACAAGCCCAGCAACGAAGATGTTCTCGCCAACAGTTTAAAGGAGCTGCTCTGCTTGAACAGACTACCTCTTCCGGAGCCCGGACATTTCTCAGGCAATCCGCTTGAGTATACATCATGGAAGAGAAGCTACGACGCCTTAATCGAGCATCGAGGAATTCCCATCGAAGAAAGGTTCTACTTTCTTTTAAAGTATCTCAGTGGTGAGCCGAGATCCCTGGTTCAAGGTTATTCCATGATTGGAGATGCTGCAGGATACAACGAGGCAAAGAAGGTATTGGAGCAGAGATATGGAGATCCATTTGTGGTATCCAATGCCTATCGTGATAAGCTAGACTCCTGGCCAAGAGTGGGTTCCAGAGATGCATTTGGTCTAAGGAGACTTGGAGACTTTTTGAAGCAGTGTGACACAGCTTCAAAGTATGTTCATCACTTAAGTCATCTTGATGATGAAAGAGAAAACCGGAAGCTACTGATGAAACTCCCAGATTGGTTGGTCGTGAAATGGAGCAGGAAGGTCGTGCATTGGAGGCGAGAGTGGGGGACATTCCCACCCTTTTCTGTTTTCACCGACTTCATTGAAGAAGAAGCTATAGTAGCTTGTGACCCTGTAACATCTCTTCAATCTCTGCAGACCTCGAATGAAAGGAAGAAATCAGCTACTTCCAGCTTTATGCAGACGGAAACTCATCAGAATCAGAGAGATGGCTCTGCTGAGAGAGGGACTCTAACATGCATCTTCTGCAAGGGTCGACATCACCTCACTGAATGTTCGTCCTTCAATTCAGAGACGATGCAGAAGAAGAGAAAGATTGTCATGGAAAATGGACTCTGTTTCGGCTGCCTTGAGAAGGGACATATATCAAGAAGATGTACGAAGAGAAATACATGCTCTTCATGCAGAGGGAAGCATCCTACTGTTCTACATGATGATGAGTGGAAAGAAAGACGACAGGATGCTACAAACAGAGATAGGGATAACATGGAAACCTTGGAGTCAACATCCTATGCATCGAATTCTGATTCCAGTCACTCTACAAAGTCAACAATGATCGTTCCAGTGTGGCTGTCTCATGAGTCCTGCGACAAGGATAAATTAGTGTATGCCTTGCTGGACACTCAATCTGATACATCCTTTATTCTCACGAAAACTAAGGAGGCGATGGGAATTAAAGGAACAGAGGTAAACCTGCTACTCTCTACCATGACCAAAGCGAATGAGAGAATCGCAAGTGAAAAGGTGACTGGTCTTCAGGTGAAAGCATTCAACGACTCCACGAAGATCATCAGCCTCCCTCCTACCTTCACGAGAGACATCATGCCAGCAGATCGACATCACATTCCTACTCCTGACATGGCAAGATCCTTCCAACATCTGTCCAGGATTGCTGACATGATAGCTCCTCTTCAAGATGTTGAAATAGGACTCCTGATCGGCTTCGACTGTGCCAAGGCTCTCGCTCCACGTGCTGTTGTCCACTCTCCTGATGATAGAGGTCCATACGCAATCCAGACGGATCTGGGATGGAGCATTGTTGGCACAGTAAAGGCAGGGTATGCGGATAGTCACAACGATCCTTTGGGTGTGAGCCATCACACAACAGTACGATTTGTGCCTGATGAGGTACAGCTACATGTAAATGGACATCGATCAGAAATGAACTTCACTCATTCAGCGACCATGAAGGAAGAGAAAGCACCTCTTCATGTTGATCGACTTCTAGAGGCCGACTTCACTCCAGATGAGGGAAAGCCAGAAGCTGTAGATCTTTCTAAAGATCCTGAAGTGAAAAGTCGGACCCATGTGCAGAAAGTAGACAAGCTCGAGTTGGAACGATTTGATAATCTCTCTAGTTGGTGTCGAGCGAAGAAAGCTGTGGCAAACTGTCTACGTCTCAGATCTTACTTACCGAAACGTTGCTATGCAAGATGGGACAAGAATGTTGTGATGGAACCTCTATCTTCTGAACTACACATGCAAGCTGAAAGGGAGAGCATAAAGTTGACTCAAAGGAAGACCTTTAATGATGTAATGCAAGCAGTAGAGGGTGACAAACGCTACAATGAAAGTCGTCTGCATCATCTTGACCCCTTCATAGACAATGATGACATCCTAAGAGCGAAGGACTTTCTTCAGAGAGAGGAGTGTGACTTCATTGCCTTCAAATGCAATGTACCTACTTCGAGCCACATGGGTGGAGTGAGGGAGAGACAGAGTACCTCGAGTTACCTCGATCGCCCTATCCAAGCTAGTTCTTCTCGTGTCGAACGTAGACCAGGAAGAATTCCCGGCCAAGGAGCCACAGGACTGTGAAGACCGATACTTTTATTTACGAACTATAACTTAAATGATCAAACTTCAGACATTGCATTTAATTTGAACTTGAATTCACCGAGAATGATTCAGTGAATGTGCAAAGTACAGGCTCAAGTCGAGAATACTGATATCTAATTTATGCATTTGTTTGTTTTTTCAGGGTCCGAGAGACTACGGATTACTGTTTGAAGAATATGATGTATAATCTAAGATTCACCATTTAAATGCTTCTATTTGATTATGTACTTACCGTAATTCCATTTTTTGGACAGTGTATTATAACATGAGTACTTTGTTCGTACTTGTGTGATTTTGAATTTAAGCGACATATATTATGCTATGCAAGTTTAAGCTTTACAATTGTATTCTGATGCTTTAGATTTAGACGAGGCTGTCAACCATTTTGTTTATTTGTAATGACGTTCTTAGAGTAAATTAATTCTTAATTTAAAGGAGCCATGTTGTGACAGTTGCACTTAATTAAGTTATCACCCAAGTCATTTGTTTTTGTATTATTGATGCATGACATGAACACACATATATTTGTATTAGCACTTCCTCAGGCAAGGTGCCTAGTATAGCGCCACCTATTGATAATGACTTGATATCAAACACTCAGAAGGCTACATAGACATGGTTGTGCTGAGGTACAAGAATCCCCTTTTTGCCAGAGCATCAAGGAGATTTCTGTCATAGTTTTGTCATTATGTCAGGCAAAGAGGTTAGTTTTGTTGTATATTGAATCTATTTCTATGAATTGTTGAAACATAAAGTGTAAATTAGTGTGTGTATTTTGTACTTCATACTGGGAGATGTTGATGTTAGTATGTAGTGTAAGACATGCAAGCCCATGCTGGTTTAATATGTACATTTGATTTGATATGAAGAACAATGATGATAGTGAAGATATTGTGAAATACTTTGAAGAATATTATGAGAGTGCTGAAGCACTAAGTAGAGATTCAGAATTTATAATTGTTTAGTTAATTGTTTAAACATGCTATAGTGAAGTCTAGTTGTGATACTTGTAGTGTGAGTTTGTATTTATGTAAAGCCATTTAATGCAGATGGACTAGAATAGAGACTGTGTTATTGCTAAATTGATTATGCTATGATGTACTTGTACTTATGATTATTTATCTGTGATTTATCCACAGTTTTCACGGAATTTACTGGAACGAAAATGAAACTCCAATTAAAGATACAATTCCCGTAGAAGCCTTTGTTTAGACTATTTATTTGAGATCGACCTCGCTGCAGCCACAGTATGACATTGCACCAACATTGACCTGATGAAAGTCATAACAACGCCTATTTGTTCCGAGTACAATGCTGTAAGTCGTGTCTAAGTTTCATTTTGGGATCTGTTCAGTCCTAAATTTGATCAGATTCGTAAGATAAAATTTAATTTGAATATTTAAGGAGTATCCTCACCAAAACAATCAGTCACCAGATGATCCCTGAAAGTGATAGGGCTACGATTCTGGTTCCCACTCCCACCCCCCCCCCCCCCCCCCCCCTCGCGAAAGAGTTTGTTATAATGGCTCGTAAGTATGACATTGCACCAACATTGACCTGATGAAAGTCATAACAACGCCTATTTGTTCCGAGTACAATGCTGTAAGTCGTGTCTAAGTTTCATTTTGGGATCTGTTCAGTCCCAAATTTGATCAGATTCGTAAGATAAAATTTAATTTGAATATTTCAGGAGTATCCTCACCAAAACAATCAGTCACCAGATGACCCAGGCGAGCCTCCTCCAGTGCCTGTTGAAGTTGTTGCCTTTGGTCTCGCTCAGGCACATTTTTTCGCCAATGAAACAGCATACCAGTAGTTCCTCCTTGTCGGCGTTGTGTCTCGATCTCCGGATAGGACATGTCGAGGAAGATGCCAAAACGAAGCACGCAGTCTGGTGGGATGCTGTCCGATAGAATCGAGATTTCTATGTCTGTGACCCTACCAGCAACTGCAGAATGTGAAGTGCCAATTTTGGTTTCAACCTTCTCCGGTATGGTGTTGTAATGAGCTCGGTTATTATTCCCTTAAAAAGAAAAAATGAGATATAATCATGCAATCATATTTTAAGCAACGTAGGTGCTGTCACAATCATCGTTACAATACAGTAGCCATATAATCGTTAGCAAACAGCAACATACATACGAATTAGGCCTTTATGTCTAAAAGTAAAGTAAACTTCCACCAAACGTTTTCATACAACACTTTGACTTAGAACACAGCATTGTCCACGGTTTAATTTTCAAAGTAATTTGATGTTAAGAATTAGTATTGTGGCCGCGTAACAACGCCCTCGATATTACATAACATATTACCATGATTGCTCTTCAATTAGTTGTTACAGTAATCGATTTTTATCCTAGGTTTTAATACTTGTATTAAACCCTGCCAAATAAAGAGGGAATGTTTAGCAATGAACACATAAGGCTTGTGTTTGTAACTTCTTGGCCCAATTTGATGGTTCAGTAAGAAGAATAAAAGTTTTAAACCATAAGGTTCAAGGTTCGAGTCAAGTCAGTTCAACCAGTATTTGTATAAGCCATTAGTCCTCAAGAACAACTTGAGTTCCTCAGATAGGAATTTAAACATTATACTTATGTTCATTGGTTAATAATACACAATAATTTACTCTCTTTTCTTGCAATCGGGACACACTAATCAACATCAAACATCAACATCGTCATACCTCCATCCTTAGACTGATAGTCTTGGTAACCCGGAAGCATCTTGATGACATCCTCTCTTCCGATGATTTCTAGGAACTCCACAAACTTCTCATACTGACCCGGATGTACAATCATCTTCTTCTGAAGATTTCTGATGATGTCGTATGCCCTTTTCTTGTCAAGATCGAAAGCCCTGACGTGCCCCTGAGCACGACTAGTGTTTCTGAAGTCCATGAGTCCATCAGGAGTAGATTCGATCTGTTTTGCCACATTCTGCATTAGTTTGGTGTATTCTGGTGGCTCGGTTGGCATTTCGGATGCCAGAGGTAGTTAAAGCTGTCAAGTACCTTTTGAAAGGAAAGGCGATAGTTTATGTTAATTTCATTTGCATAGATTATTGTCTCGTGTTTATACCTCAATCAAGCCGACTCTTAACCGACTCCAAACCATGTCGGTTCTTACCCATTCTGAGCTATGTATGTTGGTTTTTTGTTTTTTCATCTACTGTCGATCTGGGCTACCTCACTAAGCCTATAGTTGTCAACTAACTATTAAATCCTATGTAATTAGTTGACAACTATAGCTTAGTAAGATTTTATGAAAATTGACCCTATTCTGGTGTCGGTCTCTTTGGTGTGTTGGGGCTGTGTAACAAACCATTGCTGATATGAAGCTTCTAATTATAATGTCACATTCTAATAATTTCTCTAGTTCAGTATTTTACTGACCCTTCCTAATATAATGTACCGGTATACGTGTTGTACACATCAGTAAAATTATCTCCTTTATTAAAAAAAGCATTACAAAAAGTGCCATTATCAAGAAATGCACTGCATGAGCCATCTCCCGGATGAAGGGCAAAAAGTTTTACAGACACAGTAAACAATTTTTTCTCCAGAACTCATCAGTTTTCTGAAAAATGAAATTGATTTGAGTGATTAGTTTTCAGCAGTGGTAGACATCAGTAGAACAAGCACAAACACACGGCATCATGTTACATTCTCTCAGTCAACTACATTGATTAAACTTATTTCTTTTTTATGTTCTTTGTTCGTTTAAAATTCAAAAGCATTATGAACAAAATCAAGGTTACAAAATTGAGGTTAACATGATATAAACAAAATTCAAAACATTCATACAAACATGCAAACATATTTCAGTTATATTGCAGAGATTCAGCACAGTCAGGAGAGAAGCAAACATAATTATATACCAATAATAATTTTGCAAGTAAAATAAACAAAATGAAATCTCGTTTAAACAATCACCCCCCCCCCTCTTTTATTTAATACTCCCCCCCCCCCCACAGTTTAATAAACCGTGGGTTAACTCATAAATTGCTCTGCGAAGTGATACTGATAACTGACACCTATTCCCTGAACTATCTATACGGAGGCAATTTAAAAATAAACTATACATGCATTTACAAAACAGAAACCATTAAAAGCAGCACTCCTTAACAATCCTTAAAAGCAGTCTCCCTGACAGTATTCCATATCTGCCAATCTAATGCAGATAAAGATTAGAAATACAATCAGTACATTCTCGAGAACTTATAGGAATGAATATTCTCTGTTATTCCTTATACAGATCAATTCTCTTATGATGGTACACTACTTATACCCTAATAATACAATTTCAGTTAAATTAATACTATATCGACGTTATCATGCACGCCTTGTAGAAGCTCTCCATCATAATAATCTTTTTTCTCTCAGCTGCTTGCAGGGTTCCAATTAGAGATTAAAACAGGTTTGCACATCTATCATAAGCAAAACATACTCCAAACTTTCCATCGGTATCTTCATCTTCTACACAAGAAGTTGAACCTTGTGTTCTGCATTCATGGTAGCAATTCATATTGTATAATTGCGTCGATGTCAATAAATAAAAATAAATAAACGAGACCTAATATTTGGGGAAATATACAGCTCGACTCGCAGGAAAGAATTTGCTGCCGTTTTATTATCTTTATAAATGCTCTAAATCAATTGGTCTTAGTAATAGTTAATTCTGACTATGTTAATGTACATCTAATACATTATTTCAACCTTCACTAAAAAGAATTTGTGATCGTAAAGAAGTATTTTTGGAGAGGCAAGCATCCATATAACGTATTTAATGATCAGCTATAATAATATGCCTACCCAATAAATCGGTCTCAGTGTTAGATGTTGAGTTTTACTTCCTGCTCACGTAAATGTTGTCAGATCGAGGCATTCGTCTTGAGCAAGATCAAGAAGAATATGGTGCCAAATAGCTATCTGAGAATCACATGCATGTCCAGAAACTCAGAACCAATATACCAGACCGCTATACTGTCCAAGAACACACTTCCAAGATACAAGACAATTTAATATGCATCCAGAGGATTATGTATTATAGATGATACTACACAACACCATATTGTGCTGAGGCGAATAGAAGCTTCAGACAGGGAACCAATTTATGTCGTGTTTTGAGATCACGTGATATGAGATGCGTGTATACCTCTGGTGCCGTCATCTCATTACTGCAAGGCCGTTCAGCAAATCACTCATTAATATTACTCAGTGCCAATTTTGTGCTTTCCTTTAGGCCCTATCTTGGATATTACAATGTTATATTTTTCATCACACGGCCAAGCGTAAATTCCAGCCAGGTTTCTTTATTTTCAACTCTCTGGTACATTATGCAAAGAGGTCATTATGACTGTGTTGACCTCAGTCCAATATGTATTTTTTGGTCATTATCATTTGCTTGGGGTCTGATGGTGGTACGACGTAATGTACTATCCTCTGCATGCTCTATATCATTCTCATCAAGATAATGGTATTTTAGGTTTAGGGTTGAGATTGGGTTTTGTTATGTTTAGGGTTATAGGTGTAATGATGGGACCAGTAATATAGTTAGGAATTGATCACATATTACCGCCACCCACTCCGGCAGAGGAATTGTCATACGAGCAATCGTTAACAGGTTCTTACAATTTTTTACTCACCGGTTAATGATGTTGTTCCTTTGAGTGATCAAACGTTCTAGAAATATCGCTTTGGTTCTCCAAAACCGAGAGCAATATCATGTCTCACTGTAAAATGCTGATGAATATAATTTCGCTACATGTCCGTTTCCTGCTTATTATACAGGTTTTTAGGCGAATGATATTCAGCATGGCTTTAGAAATGCCTGAGTTTTATTTTTGGCGCTGTGATCATTCAAACATTGCGGTGTCAATATTTCACAATACAATTCTAGTATACGAGAACCATTGATACCAATGGCAAGAAACCGTGATGAATAATAGTTACTCATGAAGCATTCGGGTATTCCCATGCAAGTACAAGGTCATAATGCCAGACTCCTGTCGATGTTTGCTCAAGCGAGCATCATATTTCTGAATGTGATATCGTTGCCATTGCACCTCTCTCTCTCTCTCTCTCTCTCTCTCTCTCTCTCTCTCTCTCTCTCTCACTCTCTCTCTTTCGCCTTCTCCCTCACGCTCACTTCCCCCACCCTTGAAACACTGAAATGAATATATTAAGTAGGCCCATTAGTATAACAAGGCGTGAGGTAACATGCATGCATGTAAGGTAACTGCAAACACTAATATATATTTTCATAAAAGTAAGATTTGCTTTGTCTGGCATTGGTATACTGTCCTATACTATTGAGAAAGTTCCATGGAAAGAATATTGTAGTAAACTAGTTGATTTACAACTTCTTCATTGTCTATCATTAATTACCAGTTTATTATTGTAAAAAAAAAACACGAACTAAATAACAATGAATGGTTCGGTAGCCTCTGCAGAAGATAAACATATTCCAAGGAAAAAGTATTGTAGTAAATTGGTGATAACAACAAAAAAACATGGCCACCAAGGACTAAAATATAAGTTATCAGCTCGTTCAAACACAACTGTAAATCATATACAAAATAATAAACAATTCGTTACAACCAGTTCTAAACAAAAATAAAGGTTATAGAACTGAGGTTAACAATCATAAACAAATTTCAAAACAAACAGAGTTCAGTTATATTGCAAAGATGCAACACCTTCAGAGAGAGAAGCAAAAATACCAATGATGGTTTTGCAAGTAAATATATTAAACAATCATCAATAAACATCTTTCATCCGCAAAACGAATTCCAAACTTGACGAGTAACCTTTCCATCGGCATCGATCTTCATCTCCTACACAAGAAGGTGAACCTTGTGTTCCGCATTCATGGTAGCAATTCAATATTATTGTTACGTCAATGTCAATATTAACATTAACAATTAATAAATAAACAGGACCTACAATAATTATTTGAGGAAACTGATGATATTACAGCTCGACTCGCAGGGAAGAATTTGCTGGCGATTTGTCATCTTTATAAATGCACTAAATCAATTAGTCTTCGTAATACTAAGGTAGACTATGTTAATTTACTATTCTTGTAAAGGCAAGCATGCATATAAGGTAAAATAATCAGCTATAAATATGCCTAAAAGCGGTCTTAGTGTTAGATGTAGAGTATTACTTCCTGCTCACGTAAAAGTTGTCAGATCCAGGCATTCATCTTAAGCAAGATTAAGAAGAATAATTATGGTGCCAACTTATCTGAGAATCAGCAGGTCCAAAAACTCAGAACCAATATACCAGACTGATAATACTGTCCGAGAACACACTTCCAAGATAGCATACAAGACATAATATGCCTCCAGATGATTATGTATTATAGATGATACTACACAAGAACATGTTGTGCTGAGGCGAATAGAAGCTTCAGACACGGAACCACATTATTTATGTCGGGTTTTGAGATCACGTGATATACCAATGAGATGCGTATAAACGTCTGATGTCTTCGAGTGCCATCTCATTACTACAAGGCCGTTCAGCAAACCACTCATTAATATTACTCAGTGCCAATTTTGTGCCTTCTTTTCGGCCCTATATTTTTACAATCTTATTATGTTCCATCACACGACCGAGCGTTCATTCACCAGATTTCTTTATTTTCAGTCATCATGGTATGCAAGATCGTCATGACTGTGTTGATCTCAGTCAGTATGTATTTTTTTGTCATCATTCGCATGGGGTCTGAGGATGATACGACGTATGCCCTGGTCTATATTAATTTTCATCAAAATAAGGTATTTCAGGTTTACGGTTGCGATTGAGTTTTAGATTATGTGTCAGGTTAGGTTTAGGGTTATGTGTAGACTTGGTGCCAGGAATAAAGTTAGGAATTTATTGATAACAATCATAGCAATATTACCGCCACTTATAGAAGAAGTGTTCCGTACAGTCATTATGAGTTTCTTACAATTTTTACTCACCGGTTGATGATGTTGTTATAACTTGGAGTGATTGAACGTTCTAGAAGTTGGTTCTCTAACACCGTAGACTAAATACAATGTCTCCCAAGTCCCTGGTCTCACCTAATTACAATGCAACTGAATATAATTTCGTTGCATGTTCGCCCTCTGCTTTTATGCAGATAGGTGAGTATTATTCAGCGTGCCTGCCAGAGTTTTATTTTTGGCGCTTTGATCATTCATACATGGAGACGTCAATATTTCACAATGCAATGCTAGTATACCAGAACCATCGCCGTCATGAATAATTATAATTCATACAGCGTTCGGGTATTCCCAGGGTTTGTCTCGCCTCCCTGGTATTCCCAAGTACACGCTCACAATGCCAGCCACTTGTCGATGTTTGCTCAAGTGAGCATCTGATATCGTCGGTATTGCGAAACTCCGTCTTTCTCTCTTTCTTTTTCTTTCTCTTTCTCTTTCTCTCTTTCTCTTTCTCTCTCTCTCTCTCTCTCTTTCTCTTTCTCTCGCTCTCTCTCTCTCTCTCTCTCTTGGCATTACTCTCAATCTTACTCTTCCCCCATCCTTGTGCATGACACACTGACATGAGTACGGGATATTTACAAGGCGCGTGGGGTAACAGGTATAGGGTAACTGCAGACAAAAATATGCATTTTTGTTTATAAAAGTAAATTTTCTTTGCCTCTCATTTTGTTTATTGTCCTATACTTTATCGAGAAGATTGTGGTAAACTTGTTGATTCAAAACTTCACCATAGTCTATCAGAATATCTATGTATGCAGATGACTGCGCAATATGGATATCAGGCAGGAACATTGTACATTATTACTGAAAAAATACAGAAATATTTGAATCTTTTAATTTGTTGGTTTGAAGAGTGAATGGAAATGTGCTAATGTACGAAAAATCTCATCGCTTTTTAGGGGTTATATTTGATAAAAGGTTAACTTGGCAACCACATATCGAAAATGTAATCACGAGAAGTAAAAGAAAAATTAAATATCTTAAGATGTCTAACTGGACCAAGCTGGGGAAGCTCCTCGAAATGTACAGAGCACTTATAAGGTCTCTTTTTGATTACGGATGTGAGGCGTATGACAGTGCAGCTGCTACCACCAAAAAGCCATTGACTCTGTCCAATACCAAGCACTGAGGATATGCGCAGGTGGGCTGCCTTAACCTCCTTAGAATCACTACAGGTGGAAATGGGGGAAATGCCTTTGGATATAAGAAGACAAATGCTTTCAAGTAAATATAGACAAAACATCGAAAGATGGGCGAATCATCCGTTGTTGAAAAACATTGAACCATGTTGGCATTTTGAATACTTGAAGGGGAAAAACGTAAACAAACCTTTTGGATATAGAATACAAAGCAAGCTAGGAAAACGTATAGAAACGATAACCTCCTCCCCATTTCCACCATGGTTATTCTACCCGGAATTAAGTACTCGAATAAAGAAAACAGATCATCCTACACAGCAAAAACAAAGCAGCCTGGAAATCATACATACTAAATGGGCGACTCAATTACATATAATACACCGATGGATCAAAAGTACCTGAAAGAGGGACCTCTGCAGCTGCTTTTTACGTCCCTTACTATTCTGTACATCGGAGCAAAAGGTTATCAAATTTCACCTCTTCATACAGTGCTGAATTGGCTGCCATCATTCTTGCTCTCAGATGGGTAGATGAATTAGATATTAATATGTGGGGGTTGTTATTTTTAGTGATTCACTGAGTGCACTTATTGCATTACAACAACCAAGGGTGTCGATTTGTATCCGTGGTTGGGGGGGGGGGGGGATGATAGGTGCCAAAATATTTTCGGCAATGGATCAAAGCAACCAAGAGGTAGAAGCGTGTGGCAAATTTACACCCCATCCCCAATCGCGTAGCACGCTCCCTAGGGGGTTGGGTGCAGAGAGGGAGGAGTTTTCCCCCTCCCCCGAGAAGCGCGGAAGCTTTGACGTTTCATTAAATTATTAGAGAAAGAAGACGATTCGTTGGAACGTTTTCGACTCTTATTCCTTGTTTGAATCAAGTGCCCCTTCCTCCGCGCGTAGCGCGGAAGCTCTGATGTTTCAGTAGATTATTAAAGAAAAAAGACGATTCGATGTATCATTCTCTTGTCTGAATTCAGTTCCCCCCCCCCCTCCCGCGCAAAGCATTGACGTTTCATTAGATTATAGAGAAAGAAGACGATTCGTTGGAACGTTCTCGACTCTAAATCCTTGTTTGAATCAAGTTCCCCTACCTCCGCGCGTAGCGCGGAAGGTCTGACGTTTCATTAGATTATTAAAGAAAGAAGACGATTCGATGTACCATTCTCGACTCTTA